ATCCCTCCCCTCAGGGCTCAGCACCTCACCCAGGCTCAGTGTCCCCCTGAGGGTCAGCACACACCCAGATTCAGTGCCCCACCCTGGGCTCAGCACCCCCCCAGGCTCAGCACCCCATCCTAGGCTCAGCATCCCACCCCAGGCTCAGCACCCACCCACCTTAAGCTCAGCACACACCCAGGCTCAGTACTCCCCCTGAGGATCAGCACACACTCAGGCTCAGCACCTTCCCCCCACCACTACCATGGCTCAGTGCCCCACCCAGGGCTCAGCACACACCCAGGCTCAGCACCCCCTCCAACCCACGGCTCAGCCCCTCTCCCCTGTGACTCAGCACCTCGCCCTGTCCCACTGAGTGCCCCATGGTATGGGGGTCAGTCTCCCACCTGGCCCCCTGGAAGGTGAGGGGACACCTGGACAGCCTCTTGCTCCCCCAGGACCACTGCGGCAGCAACAGCAGTGCTCAGGGCTCTTTCCGAGTCGTCACCGAGAACATCCCCTGCGGCACGACCGGCACCACTTGCTCCAAGGCCATCAAGATCTTCCTGGGGGTGAGTGGGGGGCGGGGCCGTCCTCGGCAGGGTGGGCGCGGGGCCGAGGGGGGCCGGGGACGACTGCACCTGGGCAGGCGTCCTGGCGGGCTCTGAGTCTCCGGCCCCCTCTCGGCAGAGCTACGAACTGAAGCTGAGCGATGGGAAAGTTGAGGTGATTGAGAAGGGGGCTGGGCAGGCAGTGCCCTACTCCATTCGCCAGATGGGCATCTACCTGGTAGTGGACACAGATGTCGGCCTCGTACTCCAGTGGGACAAGAAGACCAGCCTCTTCCTTAGACTCAGCCCTGAGTTCAAGGTCAGCTGACGCCCAGGACACCCTCTGTCCTCCCACCCTCCTGGGAGGGGCTGTCCCCTGTAGTGGGAGGCAGAGGACCCACTGGGAACGTGGGTGCTGCAGGGGGGAGAGAGAGAGAGAGACAGAGACAGAGAGACAGAGGGAGAGTTGGAGGAGCCTGAGGCCCGCCCCCAGAAAGGATTGCTAGGAGGTCCCTTTGCTGTTTCTCACAAGACCCGTCTCCCCAGAGAAGCCCACTCTCACCTCGTCCCTGAGACTCTGAGCTGACTCGCAGGGTGGCCACGCCCCCGCCCTGGTCTAGTCAGAGGAGAGGGGACCAGTCCCACACCCGGCATCCTCATCCCGCCAGCGTGAACTGGCACGCGGGGAAGGTGCAGAAGGAAAGCGCACTGCTCTCAGACTGGGAGCCTACGGTCTCCCTGGGGAACAGCATAGGCAGGGCCAGCCCAGGCTGAGCGGGGCTACACTGGGAAGCCCTTCCCCCTCCGTCCAGACCTCCGACTCCCAGGCCTTCCTGGGGGGCACCACGGCGCCCCAGTGGGGCAGTGGGCCCCTTCTTGGTCCCCGGGCCCATGCTCTCCACCCGCCCCCGTCTGCAGGGGAAGGTGTGTGGGCTGTGCGGTAACTTCGACGGCAACGCGGTCAACGACTTCACCACGCGGAGCCAGTCCGTGGTGGGCGACGTGCTGGAGTTCGGCAACAGCTGGAAGTTCTCGCCGTCCTGCCCGGACGCCCGCGCCCCCAGGGACCCCTGCACCGCCAACCCGTACCGCAAGTCCTGGGCCCAGAAGCAGTGCAGCATCCTCCATGGTGCCACCTTCGCCGCCTGTCATGCCCACGTAAGGAGCCGAGGGGACCGCGCCCGGCCCTGCCGTGGCCTACGGGGGAGGGAAGGGCCCAGGATGCAGGGAGGTGGGGGTGGGGTGGGGACGTGAGAGAGGAAGGGACAGCCATTAGGGTGGGAATCCGAGCAGCTCGGGACAACTGGAGCTGAGGCGACAGGGTAGAACAGCTGCAGAGTGCCCACCTGGGCCAGGAAAGCAGGTTTGTGGAGGGGCAGCCCTGCCAGCCACTGGGTCAGGGCTGCGGCACAGCCTCCATCTGCAGACGGGCTGAGAATGGAGAACGCCCCCGGCAGCCGGAAGTCCGCTGGAGCGCAGCACGTTGCTGGGGGTGGAGGGAGGTTTTGGGGTACACTGCTCAGCATGCTGACCCAACCGGCAGTTGTTGGGGTCTCGTGATCGCTCTCCCTGAGCTCCGGTGGACACCACGAGGCGGGGCCCTGACACCTCCCTCCCCTACAGGTGGAGCCCACCAAGTACTACGAGGCCTGCGTGAGCGACGCGTGCGCCTGCGACTCGGGCGGCGACTGCGAGTGCTTCTGTACGGCCGTGGCCGCCTACGCGCAGGCCTGCCACGACGCGGGCGTGTGCGTGTCCTGGCGCAGCCCTGACGTCTGCCGTAAGTCGGGCTCTGTCCGCGGTGCTGAAGGGGCAGAGGGAGGGAGGAGGGAGGAGGGAGGAGGGCGGAGGCGGGGCAGAGGGAGGGAGGAGGCGGGGCGGCGGGAGGAGGGAGGAGGCGGGGCGGCGGGAGGAGGGAGGAGGGAGGGGCGGGGAGTGGGGGGCACCTAGCTGCGGCATCGCCCAGTATGCCTGCCTGATGGTGGGGTGCTGCTGAAGGCCAGGCGCTGACCCCGGAGAACATTGTGGAGCCAGGGGTGCTGGCAGAGCCCCTTCCCAGCCCCCAGCCCAGATAGAGCCTGAGCCAGCTGGGGCGTAGCTGGGAAGCCCCTCCAACAGCACCCTTCGGAGGCCAGGGGGAGACTCCTGATTCAGTCCCCCTACCATGCCCCCATTCCCCGGGTGGGCACTCTGAGGCCCCCCCGAGACCATGTCCAGAGGCACAGGAGAGGGAAGTGGCTCCAGACCACCTGGAGGCCTTCCCAGACTCGGGGTCAGGGAATACTGCCCTCTCCCTGAGACTGTCCACCCAAGGTCACTGAGGGGACTTCCAGCCTTGGGCTCTGAGTCCAGTGGCCCCGCTGAGTGCCCCCTCCCGCCCCCAGCTCTGTTCTGCGACTACTACAACCCTCAAGGGGAGTGTGAGTGGCACTACCAGCCGTGCGGGGTCCCCTGTATGCGGACCTGCCGGAACCCCAGCGGGCGCTGCCTGCATGACGTGAGCGGCCTGGAAGGTGGGCCTCGGGCAGCCTGCAGGGCAAGGCAGGGGGCCCTGTGGGACCTGGGGGTGGGGCTGGGTCTCTGCACGGCAGGGGAGGGGCCCTCTGGGACCTGGTGGGGGGCTGGATTCCTGCAGGGCCGGGGGCTGGCCTGGAATCCTTAATCCATGCTGGAGTCTATCCCGGGTTGCTGCGACCTGAATTGGGGTCTGTCATGGGATTCCTATGATCTGGGGCCTGTGGCTGCCTACCACCCTGCACAGCCTTGCAGACGAGGCCCAGGGCAGGATGGGGCTGGGACTCAGGTCTCCGACCCCACAGGCTGCTACCCCAGGTGCCCGCCAGAGGCCCCCATCTTTGACGAGGATAAAATGCAGTGCGTACCCCAGTGCCGGACCCCACCGCCCCCACCACCCTGCCGCATCCGGGGCAAGGACTACCGGCCCGGTGCCTCCGTGCCCTCCAACGAGAACTGCCACACCTGGTGGGTCAGCAGGCAGGGTGGGCGGGGCCTGGAGCAGGCAGAGGAGGGGGGGCAGTCTCCCCCAACATGCCCCCAGCCCTAACCGTCTTTCTTCCACTCCAGCATTTGCACTGAGAATGGTGTGGTGTGTGCCTACGATGCCAAGGGTGAGTGGCGGGCGGCTCTCTGGGAGTAGGGGGTTCAGAGTTGCCACCGCACCCCACCTCCTGACACCTCACTGTCTGCTCCCTGCAGCCTGCGTCTGCACCTATGACGGGCGGCACTTCCACCCTGGGGACGTCATCTACCACACCGCGGACGGCACTGGCTCGTGCCTCTCTGCCCACTGCACGGCCAATGGCACCATTGAAAGGAGGATTGGCTTGTGCGACACCAGCACCGCGCCCACCACCACCTTCTTCTTCTCCAGCACCCCATACGGTAAGGCAGCACGTGGCTGTCGCGGGGAGTGGCTGTTCACAGAGCTTGTCCCCTGATCTGACCAAGGAGCTTCCTGCTGGACAACATTCACACCGGGCTCTGCAGTCAGAAGCATCCTCTGAGGAGTGGTCAGGGGCACAGGGATGACCCTGTCATCCTCTGCCAGTCTCCCTGCAGCTGCAGGAGGGCTGTGAGTCCCAGGAGTGAGGACCAGCCGAGTCAGGGGCCGGAGCCACGTATCCTGGGCAGCTTCTGGGGTTGGTCTAGAATTTGCAAGGACCCGGGACATGCACCTGCAAAGTCCTGGCCTGATCTAGTCCCACTGCTCACCTCACAAAAACACCTGACTGCTGAGTCCTCACGCTCTTTCTGATGGGGAGGTGTCATAGGGATCTCTGAGCTCTATCAGTGCCCCAGGAGCAAACTGGGGCACCTCCAAGCAAGGCTGTGAAGCATTGCCTGGGAAGTGCACTTCCCTTGAGCGAGAGCAGCCCACCAATTCATTCAACCCACGTGTGCACCACGCCTCAGGGAGTAGGCAAGTTCCTGCTCCCATTTAGCTCTGGTGATGGCAAGACACACAGACAGGCAGACGATGTGGCCCGGGTTCAGACATGAGGCAGACTGTGAAGGAACCAACAAGGCCCTACTGGGCGATGGGGAGGGTCTTCTCAAGCTGCGGCCCTGGCACTCGGCCTCTTACCTTCTTCCACCCACAGGCACCTCCCGTGTGTCCACAGTCAGCACAGTTACGAGCAACACCCTCTCGAGAGCCCCAGGCACCTCCTCTGGGTCCACAGTCAGCACTGTTATGAGCAACATCCTCTCAACAGCTCCAGGCACCTCGTCTGGGTCCACAGTCAGCACTGTTACAAGCAACACCCTCTCAACAGCTCCAGGCACCTCCCCCGAGTCCCCAGTGAGCACTGTTACAAGCAACACCCTCTCAACAGCCCCAGCCACGTTCTCTGGGTCCACAGTGAGCACCGTTACAAGCAACACCCTATCAACAGCTCCAGGTACCTCTCCTGGGTCCACAGCAAGCACAGTGATGAGCAACACCCTCTCGACAGCTCCAGGCACCTCCCCTGGGTCCCCAGTGAGAAGTGTTACAAGCAACACCCTCTCAACAGCCCCAGGCACCTCCCCCAGCCCAGGCTGTGGGGAGGTATGCCAGTGGACCCCATGGCTAGAAGTCAGCCACCCGGGGAGGGGAGTGGACAGTGGCGATTTTGACACACTGCAGAACCTGCGTGCCCACGGGTTCCGAGTTTGCCAGGCACCCAGGGAGGTGAAGTGCCGCGCTGAGAACACACCCAATGTGCCGCTGGAAGCCCTGGGGCAGCACGTGGAGTGCAGCCGGACAGTGGGGCTAATCTGCTACAACAAGGACCAGCCCTCAGGGCTTTGCGACAACTACCAGATCCGCATTCTGTGCTGCTCCCCAGCGCCCTGCTCCACCACCAGCCACAGATCAGCCTTAACCTCCACTTCTGTCACATCCGGGACAACCCAGACCACAGCCAAGCCAGGGACCAAGGGGATCTCCTCATCAGAGGGGCCGTCCACAGCCACCTCAGGGTCTGTGCACACAGCTAGCACCACCCTCTCTACAGCTAGCACACCACCTGCCCCAGGTACCTCCACACCTATCAAAACAAGTCTCTTGACCCCCAGCCCAACACCGGAGACAACGGAAACAACATCCTCCACTGAGCCCAGCACAGTTGCTTGTTTACAAGAAATGTGCAAGTGGACAAAGTGGCTGGACGGCAGCTACCCTGGACCTGGCAGGAACGGTGGTGATTTTGACACTTTCCATGACTTGAGAGCCAAAGGCTATAATATCTGTGAGCACCCCAAAGAGGTGGAGTGCAGAGCAGCATGGTACCCAGATGTGCCGCTGGATGAGCTGGGGCAGGACGTGATCTGCAACACAAAGGTGGGGCTGCTCTGCCTGAACAAGAACCAGCTGCCTCCGATCTGCTACAACTACGAGATCCGCATCCTCTGCTGCGAACTTGTGGACGTGTGCAGAACAACAACACGTGTGGTGCCTCCAACTGTCCTTACAACTGCCACAACCCTGGTTCCTACAACCACTCCTACCTCTCAACGCACAACCACCACATCTGTTTCAACCACCTCAACCCCTGTCCCTATAACAAGCTCAGTCCCTGTCCCTAGAACCACAGTCTCTGTTCCTACAACAGGCTCAACCCCTGGCCCCAAAACCACAATCCCTCTTCCCACAACCACAACCACTGTCTCCACAACAACCACAATCCCAGTTTCTACAATGAGCTCAGCCTCTGGCCCCAAAACCATTCCTGTTCCCACAACCACAAAACCTGTCCCTACAACCAGTTCATTCCCTATCACTACAACCACAACCCCTACTTCCATAACCACCACAATCCCTATTCCTACAACCAGCTCAACCCCTGTCCCTACAAACACAATTCCTGTCGACACAGCCACAACCTCTGTCCATACAATGAGCTCAATCCCTGTCACTACAACTACAACCCCTACCTCCATAACCACCACAATCCCTGTTCCTACAACAAGCTCAACCTCTGTCCCCACAACCACAAGCCATCTCCGTACAACTACAACCCCTGTCCCTAGAAACAGGTCAATCCCTGTATCCACAACCACAACCCCTATCCCTACATCCACAATCCCTGTTCCTACAACCAGCTCAGCCTCAGGCCATACAACCATAATTCCTGTTCACACAACCTCAATCTCTGTTCCTACAACCACCACCTCTCTCCCTACAAATAGATCGAGCTCTCTCTCCACAGCCACAACACCTGTTCTGAAAATGACAACCACAGTCCCTACAACCAGTTCAATCCCTGTCAGTACAAACACAACCCCTCTCTCCACAACCACCACAATTCCCGTCCCTATAACCAGCTCAATTCCTGGAACTACATCCTCAACCCTGGTCTCCACAAGCACCACTATCCTTATTCCGAGAACCACCTCAACTCCTTTCCACAAAATGAGAATCCCTATTCACACAACCACAACCCCTGTCTCCACAACCACAGTCTCTGTCCCTACAACCAGCTCAAACCATATCCCCACGGCGACAATCCCTGTCCATACAAGTACAACCCTCGTCCCCACAAGCACAACCACTGAACCTACAACAACAACCCCTATTCCCAAAACCATAATCACTGCCCCTGGAAACGCCACAACTCCAGGCACCACACATGTGACTGCCTCCAGCTCAACAGCAAGCACCACGTCTGTGTCGAAAACTTCAAAACCTGTGTCTACAGGCAGCTCAACCATCCCTACAACTCCAACTGTCCCAACCACTCCTTCCCCTGTGCCTGCTACCACAAGACCTGTACCAAAAACCACAACCTCTCTTCCTATAACCACAAACTCTGTTCCTACAACCACAACCCCTGCCACAACAGCCACAACGCCTATCCCCAAAACCACAATCACTGCCCCTGCAACCACTCCCACCCTTGTTTCAACATACACCACAACTCCTTTTCCTACAACTACTCCCATTCCTCTGTCTACAAGCACCTCAACCACTGTTCCTGAGACAACCCACTCCCAAACCATCCCCATCACCTGCCAGCAACAGTGCACATGGACCAAGTGGTTTGATGTTGACATCCCATCCCCTGGGCCCAACGGTGGAGACGTGGAAACATATGACAACATCATCAGACACGGAGAGAAAGTCTGCCACAGGCCCGAGGAGATCACGAAGCTGGAGTGCCGTGCACAGAATCACCCCATGGTAAGCATCGAGAAGCTGGGGCAGGTGGTGGAGTGCAATTCCGACGTGGGGCTGGTGTGCCAGAACCGGGACCAGACGGGGACGCTCAGGATGTGCTTGAACTACGAGATCCGTGTGCTGTGCTGTGAGCTCCATTGTCCTCCTCCAGTCACCTCCACATCTCCAGGTACCTCAACTGTCACTGCCAGCAGCTCAACAGCAAGCACCCCATCTGTGTCGACAACCTCAAAACCTGTGGCTACACGCACCTCAACAGTCCCTACAACTACAAGTGTCCCAACCCATCCTTCCC